GGAGAGAGAAACATCAATGATGAGAATCATTGATCGGCTGCCTCCTGCATGCCCCACACTGGGGATCGAGCCCACAATCGGGCATGTGCCCTGACTGGGAATTGAACCATGACCTCCTGGTTCATAGATCAACACTCAACCACTGAGCCATGCTGGCCAGGCCATGGACACAGTCTTAATCTCTCTGAGTATCAGAGGCCTCGTCTCTAAAAGGGGAATTATACCTGCCCACAGGATTGTTGGGAGGAGCGAGTCTGGCACCTCCAAGGCTCAGTGCATGAGATGGTTTATCTGCTGGGAATGGGTGTCAAGGAAACACTTATTTAAGGGGGAGGAATAGTAGAGGCCAAGGGGCAGGCTAATGTCACAAAGGGCTCCAGCTATGCCCTCTCTCCACCCAGAGATGCGCATGGCTGAGATGGTGTCCATGGGTGTGGGGAACAAAGCCTTCCGGGACATCGCCCCCAACGAGGAAGCTATCAGCGACCGCACCATCAACTACGTTTTAAAGTGCCGAGGTAGCCTTGTGGGTGGGGTAAGGAAAGCTGCGCGGGAGGCAACGAGGACCTCTGTCAGCCCCACTCTTCGCTCCCCTCAGGACCTTGGTCCAGGTGGGCTCTCACCTGTCCTAACCTGACCCTCTCTCTTATGCAGAAGTTCGTTCTCGGGCCTCCATTGCTGTGGCCCCGTTTGACTGTGAGAGCCCCTACCTGGGGGCCTCGAGCTCCCTTCCTGCAGACCCTGCCTCTGGCTCAGTACTAGGGTCCCTCAACCTGCACCTGTACAGAGACCCGACTCTCCAGGGCCTCCGCTGGCCCCTGTATTCCACCAGCTTCCCAGAGGAAACAGCGCTGGAGGCTGAAGAGGAGCTGGGCAGCCAGCCATCCTTGAGTAGGTCTGGGCTTAGCCAGAGGCAGGAGGGCATGACTTGGGCTCTGGGCCACCCCTGCTGACAGCTCACCCACTCTCCTGCCCTAGCTCCTGAGGACTCAGAAGTCTCATCCCAGTGCCCATCAGCCAGTGGCTCCAGTGGCTCTGACAGCAGCTGTGTGTCAGGGCAGGCTCTGGGCAGGCGCCTCGAGGACTTGTCCTATGTGAGTGCCATTTTGCCTCATACGCACCAGCCCTCGGGAGGAGCACGGGCAAGTCCCAGCAGCTGCTTCCCAATCTTGGTCTCAAAGCCAAGCTCCTCAAACTAAGGGACAATCCTATTGGGCCCTTACTGTTGCCTGCCCTGGCTCCCCAGGCCCAGCCCCTTCTTACCTGGGTCAGTTTGGTTCTATTGACTCTGCCTTTTGAATAGCTTTCAATTAGATTTGTTGTCTAAACTTATTTCACTGGTTGTTAGGTTTTTGGCATCTCAGAGAGAGATCCTAGGACTTTGACTTGTTATTTACTCTTTTATTTGTTTATAATAAAAAATAGACTGATACATGAATTCTGGGACATCCTTGGTTCAAATGAGTCTTGGAAGCCTGGGACATGTGGGGGTAGTGTCTCTGGGTACCCTAGCCCTCTTGTAAGTACTTGCCCAAGATAGAGTAAGAGACAGACCTAGACAGGCCCCTCTGGACGAGCAGGTTCACGCAGCAGCCATATTTCCTGGCGAAAGGCAGTGTGAGCTGGAAAGAAAGGTCATTCTTATCCCTGATTTCCTGTTCAGTTGTCTGCTCTAGCTCTGTGTGGGCAGGTCTTCCTGGCTGGGCAGGGGCAGGAGCAGGGACAGGGTAAGGCCAGTAGTTGGGAAACTTTAATGCTCTTGGACTCAGTTCTGCCTAAGGACATCTTACAGGGCTGTGGCTAAGAGTGGCTACCAGGGAACTGACTAGAGGGTCAAAAAATGCCGCTATTTTCCCACTTTCTAGCTGTAGATGCTGATTTCACCTTTCTAATGACACCAGAGGCCTAATGATTTGGCACCAGTGTGTTTGTGGTAAAGGTGTTAGAATAATGTACTTGATTACAGAAGTACCAGATTAAAGAGAAATTAGCTAAATCTTTTTCACCTACAATGTTAAATATAAATATAGCCTAAAATCATTTTAAGGAAGAAAAAACAAACCCTGGGTCATTTCTTCGCCCTTACTGAACATTTTCTTTTTCCATATAAAAATGCTTTAAAGCTGCTTAGCTATAAAAGGAATGTACAAAAGTGGTGACATTATGGTTAAGTAAGTGAAGTTGGTATCACATGTTGAAAAGGTCTGACTCCCAATAGTTTCTCTGATTTCAGTATCCCAAAATCTTGGGCTTGTATGATGGGCTTCCCTGAGAGTGGCCATTGTTAGTGATGAAGGCAAAATTAGTATCATTGGAGGAAAACTACAAAACCAAGTAGCCTGAATACTGCTTTTTGACCACTCTGGACTGGTTAATTTCAGCTCTCCTTCCTCCCCACCCCCAACTGGACCCAGGGATCTGAGGTCTAGCTGTCCACCTTGCCTTCTGGGAAGCAAGACACAGTGCCCATCTGAGGCATCCTGCATCCCAGTGGGGTGCAGGTGGCTCTCACCTCCACCCAGCTGTGCAGGCGTTCCTGGGTATGCCGGTCATTCTTGAAGCCGGTGATGGCCAGCAAATCCACCACAAACTGCTTGGGGCTGATGTGCAGGGTCTGCCAGGAGAGCCCACAGTCAGGCCGGGCCGGGGTAGCTGTCTGACATATTTGCTCTCAGCCCCTCAGAGTGGGATGCACAGCAGGGACTCCCTTGGGCCTGCAGTAGCTGCAGGGACCAGGGGGCACTGTCACCCCACACTGCCTTGGCCAAGGCTTGGTCCAAATGACCTTGCCCTGTCTTCCTGTCCCCGTTTCTCTTGCCACCCTTCTGTCCCTGACCTACTCCCCACTTATTGTGGGGTAAGAGGACAGGAGGAGAAGGAACCTGTCGTGTACATACCCACAGTCGGTTGGCCAGGGAGACCACCTTGGCTGTGATGGCTTTGGGGTCCTTTTGTCTGATGGAATCCAGGATGATGTCAGTCAGGAAGCGGTGACATTTCTGTGCATAAAACATCTCTTCCCAGGACAGAGAGAAACTCAGGAAGGTCACCTCTATAGAGGAGAGAGTGGATGTGGCCACTTCTGCCCACATCTAGGGCCTTAGAGGCAGCCTGTGGTAAGGGCTGCTGAGGGATACTCCCCCTGGAGGGCCCTCGGCGGGGCTCAGCCTCAGGCATCCTCACCTCGGGGCAGGGGGCTGGCTGAGGGCAGTGTGTGCCTCAGGATGTCCATCTGTGTGGTGTAGACGATGCTGTCCTCAAAGAACATGCAGGAGCCATCATTGCCCACCACAGGGGGGTGGCTCACCTTGAGGATGACCCCTGCGCTGTCTAGGTCACTGGCCTCAGGCAGAGGCTGCTCAGGGTCAGGGCTTTCTGTAAAAATGTGGGGGGAGGGTTCTTAAGCCACCTCAGAGCTCAAGCAGGGAGGGACCTCTGGAGTACAGTCAGTCACCCCAGCCTTCCGCAGCTGCTGCCTCCAGCTTCTCGGAAGTGGCACCCTGGGATGGCAGGGGGCTGTCCTGGCTCTCCTCTCTCCATTGCCCTGGAATCATGCAAGCCAAATCCTAAATGGCAGGACTCTAAGGAACTCTGCAAATTTCGCTGCTGAACTAAGACTGGTATCAGATAAGGCCGATAATAACCCAGCTGGGGACTGGGAACCTTGGTAAAGTTGTAAAACGAGAGGAGCTTTTGGGGCGAGTCTTTGATGTCTGTCCACTCTGAAAAGTATGCTTGACGGAGCAGAGAAAGCTGTCCATCATGGCCATTCTTGGCACATGTGCTCTGCACCTCTCCCCCAGACACAGCACACCTCGCTCTCTAGCGCGTTGCCCTGTCCTCCCACCTCAGTAACCATCCACTTCCTTGCAGTCACCCAAACCAGAAACCTCACCCCTCTGACCCAATCCTTATCCCCTTCTGCCCCCGTCCTGTCCAGCCTGTTTCATCTAGAATGACCTCCCCACTCTAACACTCCCCTTCCTGCTGCTGCCTTTCCTCTGCCTCTGGAGCCAGCTTTCTGAATGTACACCTGACTGCTCCCCTGTTTGTTTGTTTTTAAATATATTTTTATTGATTTCAGAGAAGGGAAAGGGCAAGAGAGATAGAAACATTAATGATGAGAGAATCATTGATCGACTACCTCCTGCTCTCTCCCTACTGGGGATTGAGCCTGTAACCCGGGCATGTGCCCTGAGCAGGAATCGAACCATGACCTCCTGGTTCATAGGTTGACACTCAACCACTGAGCCACACTTGCCAGCTATTTTTAATTTATTTTACTCTCTTGTTTAAAATGCTGCAATGGCTGCCCACTCCCCTTAGGATCAGAGCAGAGTGCCAGGTCCTGAACTTGGGCCACAAGACCTGTTCTGATTACTTTGTCTTCAGTCTTATCTCCCGCTAGGTGAAGCCTGGCCTCCAGCTAGACTGATGACCTGCTTCCATAAGCACCAAGGCTTCTCTTCCTTCCTCTGTGACTCTCCAGGCCCCAGCCTCCTCTGTGCTCTCTTACTTCATAGGCGCCCCCTTCCCATACCCTTTATGTGGTTTCTCAGCCCCTCAAGCCATGCCATTGTGTTGGTCACATATCTGTATCCGCTGCTTGGCACAGAGTGGACTCACCTCTCTCCTTTGACTTTGGCTTGCCCCAGTCCTTCAGGGTGACAGCTCTTTTTGTGGGGAAGTATGGTTTAAACGTTGGCTCTGGCCCTTTGTCTTTGGCTCCAGCTCCAGCCCCTGCCTGCAGACCTGGGTCCTTCTCTGGGGCTGTGGCATGACCTTTCCAGGAAGCTGAGGTACTGGGCTGGGAAGCAGCCTCACTCCCGGAGGGGAGCTGCAGGGTGGCCTCCTCCAAGGCGCTGCTCCGAGGAGCCTGCAGAGGCTGGAATTCCCATTGTTTGCAATTGACCATGTCCCATTCCCTCACCAAGGAGATGAGTTTTTGCATGGGTGTGACAGGAGGGTCTTTGGTTTCACATTTCTGTGTGAGGTTGACTGTGGTGGACTTCTTTTTGGGGGGACTTTCAGGGCAGGCCCCCCAGTGTCTGGGGTTGGCACATAGGCTGGAACAGTGGGAGTATGTGCTGGGATTGCCTGCCCGCTTGGCACCTCGGCACAAGGACATCTGGATGGCGCGGGAGTACTGCTCAGTCTCCTCCATTTGGCTGGACCTGGCGAGGGTCCCCTTGACCTTGTTCCAGGGAGTCCTGTCACTGCAGTCCTGGAAGTCCCCAGGCATGCAGGCTATGGTCTGGGGAGGGAGGGCATAACAGCTCTGGGCATGTGCTTCTACATTGGAGCCTCCCCAGGTCTAATAAGCTGGGCCTCCGAGACTTTACTTGCTCACCCAGAATAATCCCATTCCCGCACCCCCCCCCCCCCCCCCCCCCCCCAAGAATAGTCAGTCCATTCCCTTTCTATGTCCCTGATTCTATTACAACCAAGGAGCTTTGCTTAGTCTGAGTGGGGTGGTGTCAGCCCAGGGGCCTCTCAACTCCAAAGGGACATATCAGCATCCCAGGCCACAGCAGCCAAGGTGCCCTGTGCCTCCATCCAGGTCATAGTTACTATGCTAGCTGCACCCTCTGCTCTGCCCCCATAGCAACGCCTGCCCTGAGCTTTGTAGGCGTGTCCTTTGAGGACACCACTAAACCAAAGAGGGCTGGGCCTTACTTCTTTGGCATCTCTACCAAACTCCACCAGCGACTCGGGCCCTTCCGTCACCACATGCAACCTCCTGATGGGAAAAGCTTCTTCATTTTCAGATTCCTTCTCCTGGGTCCATGACCTGCAGACTCCAAGGAGGGTTGGTTAGTGAGCAGAAGCTTCTAGCCCATTGCCCTGTTGGGCAGGCTGGCTGAGAGTGAACTCTGGACAGTAGGGGAGAAGGGACATCTAAAGGGTTTTGGCATAGGTCAATGCCCAATCCTGGCCTGCCCCACCCCTTTAACCCCGAGGAGAACAGGTCTTACTGGGAGGTGGGACTTAAAACAGGATTCCCATGAGGAATATAAAGGAACAAACTCCAGAACGTGGGGCCTGGAGCAAAGTCCCCTTACTTGTACGCCTCACACTGGGCAAGGGCTTCTGAGAGGGATGGGATGTGGTATTCCTCCACCTCCTGGCAGAAGAGGGGCCACTCCCTGTGGACGATAAGGAGATGTCGGACTGGGCAGCTGAGTGGGAGTGTGGGTGGGGCACAGGCCTGCAGAGCTGCTGCCTCCCACAGCAGTTCACATGTTGGAACTACTAGACTGTCCTCCCTGAAGGCTGCAGGCCTGTTTCCTTTGATACAGAGGAATGGGGTTTCATCATGCAATGTCCTTCCTTCGCTTACTTAAATTCAGATGGTAAGAACAGTTTTCCAAGTCTCAGGAAGTTGAGAACATGTCGAAACATTTGGCCATCTCCGTGGATCAGCAGGGTCTGCCCATACGTGATCCAGTACGCTCTCTGAGGGTTGGACAGCAGTTCTGGATACTGCAAGGGATTGGACACCAGATTGTTAATCTGCTAGTCAAAGGGCTAGGTCTTTAGTAAAGCAGATCAGCCTTCTCGCTTCATTTTCCTGACCATTCTAGAGCAGAGGCTTTGGATCTGTTGGCCACAGAGAGCCATACTGGGGAGCAGATCGCTTCATTTTCCCGACCATTCTAGAGCAGAGGCTTTGGGATCTGTTGGCCACAGAGAGCCATACTGGGGAGCAGAGCATTTGGGGAAGAAGCACATGGTCTCTGCTTCAAGTTTTGCTGGTCCCTAGACCACCCTCTTGAGGCATTTGGAACCCCACCCTCCCTCTTTCCTGGCCTCCTCCCTACCCACACTCCTGAGGGCCTTCCCGGCTGTTCCTATGGAAAGAGCAGGCAGAAGGTCCTTGCTCTAAGCAGGTGCTGAAGGCTATGTAAGGGTCAGGTGACCGGTTCCAAAGCTGCTCAGCTACAGAAGCCTGGGGCAGCAGTACCTTCAGCAGGGTCTGCAGGGTGGTTGCATACCAGTGGCTTCCAACATAAACCTTGATGATCTGTTGGGGGGAGTACACAGTAATCTCTGCCATCCACTCCTCATCTAAGGAAACCAACGAGAGGGGACACATCACTTGGGCCAGAAGGTAAATTTTGGTCAACAGTGTATTGCATGTTAAGACTCAATACCTTCACCAGCCATACTGTGTTGCATCCTCTGAGAAGCAGCTGGAATCCCTGACACCAACCTTCTCGGCTACTCAGGGCTTCCTGCGGCTCACCCTTTGGTTTCCTGGTTTCCAAGTCAGGGACTTGGGATGGGACAGGTAAGCCCTTTGGAATCCCAACCCCAAGGGCATCGCTCCTCCTCCTCTGACCCACTTCTCTCAAGAAAGCTGAACTGAGGTTCATGTCTACTCACATGCTACCTGCCTCTGGTTTCTGGCTGGGTGTCCTGGGTAGGAAACTTTTCATGTGGTTCCTTTGACTGGAGCTAGGAGTCCCTGGTTATGTTTGCGCTCTCCTCCCCTGACCCACTTCTCTCAAGAAAGCTGAACTGGGGTTCATGTCTACACACATGTTACCTGCCTCTGGTTTCTGGCTGGGGTGTCCTGGGTAGGAAACTTTTCATGTGGTTACTTTGACTGGAGCTAGGAGTCCCTGGTTATGTTTGCGCTTATGGTTTGGTGAATGTCATAGAGCCAGCTCTCATCAGTTCACTATCACTTCTTTAGAGAACAGGCCTCTAGACATGTCTGGAGAATGGGGCTTTCTTCTGGGAATGACTAGATATTTGGGAACCAGTTTCTAGTGAGCTTTGTAATGAGTGACAGGTATATAACTAGACTATAATTAGATAAGGGGTAAGAGATACATAATTAGATTGTGAGCTCTATGAAGATAAGGCCTGCATTTGTTTTGGTCACGTTTGCACACCCAGTGTCTACTTTTGTCCTGGTATATGGTAGGTGCTCAACAAATGTTGTATGCTGCAGAATGACAGTAATACAGACTAAACTTGACCAGAAAAACTAAACTTTTGTTAATAGGAGGTTATAGGCAGATGGTGAAAACAACTGTCTTTGGACTCAGACTTCAACTCCAGCTCAGTCATGATCTAACTCTATAATTTGAGCAAGTTACTCCCCTGAGCCTCTGCCTCATTGGTTAAATAGACTCAGGGACTGTTTCTCCCTGGATGGCAGTGAGGATGGATGAGCACAGCATGTCAGCACCCAGCGCTGGAGCAGGCATGCCTTGGGGACCGTGTAGCCCCACAAGGGTCAGTCTCTACTGCCCAGTCTGTACTGCCCGAGGCTACTTGGGGTAAGGAGGGGTCACTTCACATGAAAGTTTCCCTTTAGGCAAACCCCACAAATGTGGGTCTGTCTGGCTTTCCTTGGCAGGCATGCCTTGGGGACCGTGTAACCCCACAAGGGTCAGTCTACTGCCCAGTCTGTACTGCCCGAGGCTACTTAATAGGCTTGGGGTAAGGAGGGGTCACTTCACATGAAAGTTTCCCTTTAGGCAAACCCCACAAATGTGGGTCTGTCTGGCTTTCCTTTCTTTTTCCATGTACAGTTCCTGGCCCTGGCCAGCCTCATCTTTCCCCTCTGATCCTCCAGACCCTCCCCTGATGCTAAATTCAAAACAAGAAGCTTCTTCATTTACTGAGCACATCCATGGGCGCCAGAGTCCTCGGCTCCAGATGAGTCTTCAGAGCCACTTTCATTGGCTCATAGGTGATGTCCCTCTTGTCCAGGAAGGCACAGAGCTCATACACCTCAGAAATGGTTTCCGTCAGGGGCAGCCGGCAAGTCCCCAGCCAGTTCCTGCCCAGAGGAAAGGCCTGTCACAGAGAGCCCCAGTACTGCACCACTAACATCATTTCCTTGATTTAACTGGGAATCTGGTGTTACCTGTAGGACAGTAAGCTTGGACACACACTCACCCTTTTGGAGCTGAGCTTGACCTATTTCAGCAGAGCCCTCTAAATCGACTAATTGCAAGCCTCCAGGCCTTATCTCGGGTTGAAAAGCCAGGCCAGGACCCAGCCACATCTTTCCTGTCCTCATAATTATCTGCCCAAGACATCCAGTCATGTGGTAACCTGCCACGGACTTGGTAGTTGACTAGTACCCTGTGTGCCCAAGAAAGTCTGAACATCAACCCCCTGCATCCAAAGGCGCTTGTCTTTGTCTTCTGTAACATTAGGGGTGGGCCACAAAGGCCCCAAACAACGATACTGGATAGGACAGCATTAAGGGTTGGCTGATCTTCTCTCCAGCACTCAGAAAAACCTAGTTCTATCTTTAGTTTTGGTACCAATGTATTTTGTGAACCTAAAAGAATTGTTCACCTTGGCCAGGTGGCTCTGTTGGTTGGAGCGTTGCTCCTTACACCAAATGGCTACGGTTCGATCCCTGTCAGGGCACATACTTAGGTTGCAGGTTCAATCCCCAGTCGGGGCACATACACAAAGGCAACTGATTGATGTTTCTCTCTTACCTCTCTCTCTCTTTCTCTGTCTCTCTAAAAATCAATAAAAACATATCCTTGGGTTAAAGAAAAAAAATGTCCCACTCCGAATCTCAGCTCTCCTTCTATAAAGCAGGATTGGAATCCATGCCCCTGCACTAATGGAGACATTCTGAGCTCATCCCTCAAGGCAAAGGCCAGGTATCACCTCCTCTGTGAAGCCTGCCTTGCCTTACTTCGCGGAGACTCATCCCTAGCTCTGGCCTCTGTGTGTGTCCAGTGAACCTCTGAAGGGTTGGAGGGGAGGACCTTTGCAGGAGGATCTGCATGGGGGGTCGGTAACACTTAGCATCCTGAGGGTTGTGACTGTGGCTTGGTCACCTCAGACCTAGCTTAGGGCTAGAACCAGAGCAATGGTTTGCAGAGAACAGAGATATGGGCCAGTTTGGGGAACCTTTGCACCTTGACACCAGCCCTCCCCTCTGAGGCTGGGGTTCAGTGATGGTGGTGGGAGTGGCTAAGATGATGGGTTTGCCCTCAGGACACTACCTCCCTCTGGCTGGGGGGGCCCAGGTGGTTCCTAGGGAAAGGCAAAGCCCACCCTGAGTGGGCCGAGCTGTGCTGAGGAGGCCTTACCTGACGTGCTGGAAGAGAACCCCATTCCCCGTGATGTACAGTCTACTTCCGTCCAGCGTGCTCTCGATGCGGAGCTGTCCCAGGGCGGAGTCTGGGTATTTGACCAGCACACCCAGGGCCATCATGTACAGTGGCTTCACAGCCTCCAGGCCGGCTGCACGGCCCCCCTTCCCCGGGCTTGGGGGAGGACAGGAGGTCCGGGAACAGCCACCTGTGCAGGGAGAAAGGGTGACTCCTAGACCCCTTCACAGTCATACCTGTATTGGGACCTTTGGGTCTCCTTCCTGCTGCTTTGAATTAGTACTGAAGAGGTTTAGAGACAGCTTACTTCCTTGCACAGCCCAGGTCTGGATCTTCTCAAAATCAGTACAATTTTTCACTTCTGAGTCAGGTTTAGAGGTCAAAACTATTAGTTGGGAGGGGGTGGGGAGAAGGGAAAAATCTGCGGCATCACTAACATTTGGAGTTCAGAATTTCAGCGCAGCAGCCACCTGGCCCTGCCTCTGCAGGAACCTCTCTAAGTTTCAGGCCCAGCTGTAACCGGCCATGGGAAAGTTAAGCAGCCATCGCACAGAACCCAAGGTGTGCCACAGTGTCCCGGATTCAGTGTCTCCCTCCTGGGCAGAATTTCCCCCAAAGACACAGTAGGTGGTGTTACTATCAGGTGGGCATTTGGGTTGCTGGCTCACAGGCAGGACCTTGTGCTCCTGCTGTGGCACAATGCACAGTCTACAGTGGCCACAGTGGGCTGCTGGGCAAGCTGCTGGGTGATTTTCATGCATCATCTCCAATCCCAACAGCAGTCCCACAAGAGGGGTAGTGCTAGCCTCACATCACAGCCGAGGGTACTAATTAAGTCCCACTGTGCTGAGAGACTAGTTCAGCACCTTGTCCGAAACTGCAAAGCAAGACGGGAGCAGAGCCTGTCTCCAGGGCTACTGGAGCCGTTTCCCTTAGGTGTGGTGCTTTATAAAAGGCAAAGCCTGCACTGTGTTGGGGACTGCCCACGGCCTACAGAGCCTACCTTCACATAGCTCTTGTGGAGTAGGCACCTCTCCACGCATCTCTCAGTGACCCGAGTTCTCTGAGGAACAGAAGCCCTTGGGGGAGGGGTTTGAAATCACACCCCCTTCAGTGGATTGTCAGAGCCTGGGCCAGGCCCCCCGAGACCTGCTGCAGGATGCCATGGCCCCCAAATAGGATAGGACTTCATCTGCCAGGAGAGAGGCTGGGAGAGCTGGCCCTGAAGACAGGGAAAGGCCCATTCCCATGGGATGAATGTCTGGTGATGTGCAGCCCTCATTGGACACATGCTCTACATGCTCGGTTCCATACATTCTCAGAAGGCCTGCTGAGGCCACATTGAAGCAGCTAGCTCCTGAAACATGCACAGAAGCTTCAGTGGATGTGCAGGAATTGCAGAATAGGATGAAAAGCAAATAAAAACTGAGGGGCGGAGCAAGCTGGAATGAGGGAGCACCGAGAGCATGAAGGCCTGGACTGGGTCAGGGTCAGGGTCAGGAAGTGTCAGGTCAGGGCAGAAACAGACACAGCAGCCAGGGGTTTCGAAATAGGGGACAAGGGAATTTGGAGGTGGGTGGGAACACTGAACCACTAGTGAGGAATTTGCTCAAGCATTTCCCACCCCCCACCATGCCTGGAAAACAAAATTCGGGAGTGGCAGGTGGGTGCTCTAAGTTTCCAGTGTCTCCCCACTTCCACAAGCAGAGCAGACCTGCCTGGCCCCTGGGAAGTCTGCCATCAGGCCCAGCCTCCCTTCCTAGCACATTCTGGCTTGGTTTCCCCATGTGGGCTGAGCTGGGCTACCTCCAGCCCCTATTGGCTGTAAGTCATCCACCCTCAGTGGGCAGGCTGAACAGAGACCACACGGGGCTTCAGACTGACATTCCTCCTCTTGATTCTAAGCCCAAATGCCTGCTTCTTGCACAACCAGCCAAAGCCCAAAGTACTTGTGGGAGGGGAGATGTTTGTTCTTGGCTTTTCCAGCTCAAGCCTGACCACCCCGAAGGTGAAGGGGAGGGCACGTTTCCCCGGGTGACATACCCATGTTCATCCGGTACAACCTCACAGCTTCAGTGAGTGCAGGGATTTCTAGAATTTCCACTTCTGCTTCTAACACATCAATATTGGAGAAATTATCTGGTAGTAAAATCTTCTGTGAGCGAAGAAAATTCACTTGAAAAGCAAAGGAAAACCAAATGAGTTAATGAAGTAATTTCTAATGTCACTGAAGGTCCAGGTTTTGACAGGTGTTTGGTGCTGCAACTTATCCTAGGTTCTCCTTGTTCTGAAACGTTTGAACATACCTGGTTAGATTAGCTTTAAGTCTGTGGTTTTCAAGGTGAAAGACCACAAATTACTTTGTCTTCTGGTATTTGAGGCCATGGGTGTGGTCTCCCAAGGCCTGGCCTGGGGCTCCCACGCCAGGACCTCCTGGTGAGCACATTGGCACTGAGACTTACCCTGTGAGTCTTGACCCAAGAGCAGGTCATTCCAAAAGAGGGAGTTGTCTTGCTGCTTAGAGAGGAAGGGCCCAGCTGAGCCTGGGCTGGCAGGTGGCAATGGCAGTCTGTCCCTGCCTGGACTGCAGTGTAGGAGGCAGAGATGCAGCCCACGCTAATGCCCTGTGTGAATCAACTTGGAGACTCAGAAGCACATCACAACAACTTTCCAGGTGACTATGAATATGAATGGCTGGGGTTCCAGGCATTTGGGCCCCTAGAACAACTTGGGTGTTTCCTGCCCTATTCATCTAGGCGGCTGCAGCATCTTAGAATCAAAGGGGTCATTCAGTTCACACCCCCACCAGAGCTTGTCCTGGGCAGTGGGGGGAGGGAGGCTCTCTTCTGTCCAGGGCTGAAGATCTCACCCCTCCTTGGGTCACTAATTCAGGTGGATAATTCCACAAGGACTCTGGGGAAACTCTCACCATCCACCTTCCTTACCTTTTATTCTGATTTAATGGAAGTGAGAGCAGGTAGGGACCATCCTTTGAAATACCCCTATTTCCTCATTTGATGAACCTTGGTTCCTTGGTGAGGGGAACCAAGGCCCGGAGCCCACTTGGATACATAAGGACAGAACAAGATGAGTAGCTGACCTTGGAGTCCAGCTCAGGGCCTTGCCCTTCACACCAACTCCTGTGGCCCCTGACACTGCTGCAGGTAGTTTCCAGTGCCCCCTTACACCCAGGCCACTCCCAAATGAACAAGGAACAAAATAGCCCCAAGGAAATAGGAGTCTAAAGCTGGATTCTGCTTGCCTCCCCACAGACTTTGTCATGCCCCCTCCACCTCTGCCCAGGGAAGCCCCTGAGGTCCTAAGCACCAAGCTGGGCCTCTCTGTGGGGAGGAGTGGATGCTCTCTATCAGTCCACCCGCCTCCTCCCACCCCTACCCCCAATGTTGCCCTCTTCCCGCCACAGAGCAATCACCAATGAACCGGAACTCGCTGCACTCGCACTCGATCAGGGCCACCGTCTCAGCCAGCCACAGCAGGTTGTCCTCAGTCACCAGGCTTGGATACTTGGCCACTAGGTCTAAGGGCAGGAAGCAGTAGTGCACTTCCTCTTCCGTGTCTAGCAGTGGTGTGTCCATGAGCCCCAAAGGTGCCTTATCGTGTAGGCCTGGAGGAGAATGGGCAAAGGGTGTCACCACCTCCAAGAGGCCAAGGCTCTTAGAGGCCACCAGGACTCACTGACCCAGGGGTCCCAGGGGAAGCTGAAAAAATTCACCCAGGAGATGGTCCCTGCCTGGTGCCTCCTTCCTCTGTATTTAGATGTAACCCTAAGGTTTGGCAGGAGTGTGGTGGGGAGCAGGGCATGGACATCTAGTTTTTCTCTAGTGAAGGGCAGTGGGACATGTTATAAATTTTGGCTTATGTATCCAAAGTTATTCACATTGGTTATCTATTTGGTTCGTTCTAATTGATCAAACCAACCATTGTGACCTACAGGTAATATCTAGTTTTTCTCTAGTGAAGGGCAATGGGACATGTTATAAAATTTTGGCTTATGTATCCAAAGTTATTAAATTCACATTGGTTATCTATTTGGTTCTTTCTAATTGATCAAACCAACCATTGTGACCTACAGGTAAAAATAGATCCTTTTGACTCTCTTGGAAGCCCCAAACCCATCCATTATCATGAATGGTTGTTTGGTGTCTCAGATAGGCTAATCCATACTGCAAGGCACACAACAGACAGTGACCATTTGGGGACATTCCTTGTGTGGTGGTGAGAGTGACTTGAAAGGATGCCGGAGTTCCCAGGCGACTAGGAAGCGTGGAATTCAGCCCAGCTCTGCCCAATATGCAGAGGAATGAATGTGGAGGAGGATGTTTGCTGCCAGTGGGTGAGCAGCCATGGAGAGGGCATGTGACAGGGTACAAGATCAAAGGAGATGACAGTGAGATAGAGCAGTCATTCAGAACGAGTTCAGAAATGAGGGTACTCTCTGGATGGAAGCCACTTCTGTTAGGATGAGAAGAAAAGCTGGTGGGGGCTTCGGGAGGGGCAGCCTATGCTTATACCTGTGAAGGCTGGGCTTTTTATAGGAAATTCCGAGGGTTTGCTGATACACTTCCACGTTCGCCAGTAGTTCAGAGATGCTCTCTCGGCAACAGGAATGTCTGCAGGCCGCACGCGGAGATGGTGTTTCCCTTCCTTCAGATTATCTAGAGTCTTGGATAAAGAAGATGGCTGCGTTGAAAATTCTAAACCAAGTCACTATCTACCAGCTCTAGGGTAAAATACCAGAAAAAATAATAGATGACTTACTTTGGTAAATGTTTTGGAATAGAGTCAATCACACAACTATGTAAAAATTTAGGTCTGTAAGATGACATGCTGATATTAAAAATCCCAATGATGATTTCTCTCCTGACTTTTGAAATACTTTTTGGATTATAATTTACATGGATTAATAGACATTTATTTTACACAATCTTAAGGGTAATTTCTACTTAACTATCAAAGACTCGAGATTTTCTGTTATCATTTCCCCTCAAGAGTTCAAAAACCCTTTTGACCTGTTATAATTGTTTTGTTCTGCTTGTTTGTGCTCCTCCTAACCATGGAACCTGGTCTAACTAGGGAAATGGAGGTGGCACGGGGTACATTTTTCCAAGTGCTCGCACTCATTCGCTCATTTATCCCAACACAACTCTGGCAGGCAGATGTGGTGTTTGCATTCCGGTTTTGCTGATGTGTCAGTTGTGGTCAAAGGATTTGTGACTTGCCCAAGCAGTCTTCCATGTCCAGAGCCTCTCCGCTTCAAGGATCAGGTGACCAGGGGTGGGCTGAGGCGGGAGTGGAGCACCCCAGCTAGGCCGAGCTGAAGCCCAGGCAGGTGGGCTGGGTGTCTTCATGCCGCCTGAACTCAGGAGCCCATTCTCCCTCAAAAGTCCTGCTTAGGGGGCAGGTTATCATAACATCAAGCCCATTTTTTTTCTGTCCCCAGCTTAGAAGAAAAATTTCTTAAGGTATTTTTGGATATAGCTGGAAAAGTCATTCTGTAAAGGCATCACATGGCCAATTTTTTCCCTAAGGGCTTCATAATGGATAGAAAACCTCAGATTCAGTATGAAACTAATAAAAGAACCTGCTTTTAATTCCCATCTACGCAGGTGAGGCTTGTGAAATTATTCATGGAAATCCCGAGATTTGAGAAGAGCCCTCTGGTGGTTATGGCTATAAACTGCACCCACATAACTAAAGATCTGCAAAAGGTGGGTACCAGAGTGAGGCTTCCCCATTTAGAGTGGCTGGTGGAGTTGTGGGAGGACTGGGGTTTGGGTCTTGACTCTGTCCCTTAAAAGCTAACATTTATTGCCCAGGCACTTTTAAACTAAATCCTCCTAATGTACCCCCAACCCACAAAGTAGGCCTAGCACTATCAGTCCCATTTAGCAAATGGGAAACAAGCCCAGGAAGAGGAAGAGTATTTAGTGCTCCAAGTAAGTGGAGATGCTGGGGATGGAACCCAAGATTCTAGAGCCCATGTTCTTAACCACTGCTCTTAACTAGCTGCCTCCCACTTGTCACTTAACTTTTCCAAGCCTCAGGCTCCTCACATGCAAACTGGAAATAGTAAAATCTGGGAGGTAGTGTTGTAGGGATTAAAGGAAATAATGTTAAGTTTAATTTCATTTCTCTTAGTGGTCAGAATCCAAGCTACCTTTCCACCTTCATCTTCCACCATTATTTCATCCCCACCCCACCATCAGTGACATAAATGCCACAAAACTCTAAATGGAGGAAGGAGGGAGGGAGGGAGGGAGGAAGGAAAGGAAGGAAGGAAGGAAGGAAATGAAGGAGAGAGGGAGTGAGGGAGGGGGGAGGAAAGAAAGAAAGAAGGAAGGAAGGAAGGAAAGAAGGGAGGGAGGGTACTTCAGAGAGCTAGACTCCCAGCTGTCCTTTGCCTTTGCTAACTAAAGTTGCCATAGTGTGTGTGGTTGGTCTTCTATGGACTTCAATTCCACCTCTATCTGCCTGAATATTACTTCTAGAATTTTTATTCTTCATATGATCCAGAAAGTTATTAGAAGGAAGATTTCTTTAAGGAAAATACAGATTTGAATTCAGATGGCTAATTGCTAGCACAAGGATAATTAATGTTGTTTTTGGCCTAGATAGTAATGAAAAACAAGTCAACCAGAAGCAACATAAGACTGATGGCACAGGAGCAGTGTGTATGTGTGTGGGGGTGATTGCCAAAAGATGGCTGACAAATGCACTGCTGGCAGAACTTTGGGACTTAATGGAGGTTTTCCAAAGGAGCAGCAGTGCTCAGAGATGCCCGATGCTCTGATGTGGGCTGTTGCTCTACTCTTTTTTTTTTAAATATATTTTTATTGATTTCAGAGAGGAAGGGAGAGGGAAACATCAATAAAGTTGGTCACCTGCCTCTTGTACGCCCCACACTGGGGATTGAGCCTGCAACCCGGGCATGTGCCCTGACCAGGAATTGAACTATGACCGTCTGGTTCACAGTTGACACTCGACCATTGAGCCATGCCGGCCGGGTGCACTGCTCTATTCTTCATGGCATTTACTTCTGCCATTGTATGACTATATGATTCATTCTTATATCTCTAGTGCTTGATCTGTGATTGCTGCTCAATTCACAATAAATGTTACATTTAGAATCAAGGCAATAATAGGTATCAAGTGTGCCCTTCGGAGGCCAAAGCTACAGACTAGGGGGAGATGGGATAGGCAGGTGAGTGGGGATTGGTAGAGAGATAAGGGTTGCAGATATGCAGGGGTGAGGAGGAGTGGAGAGCAGAGCAATGTAAACCCAGGTGCCTGTCTTCTAGAAGCTTCTCATCTCATTCTGTTTGTTGGCTCCTTCTCATGGCTTCCCAACAAAGCCTACCATGTTACAGATAATCCTGAGTTGGATACTCCACCTGTTGAGTGCATGGAAACTTCAGTTAGTGGGAGGCAAGGTCCCATTTTTATTGTTAGGGGCTAAATCTGAAGGACTTTACAGTGAAGAGCACTAACTGTTGAGGACAGTTTAGTCATGTGCTATCCAATGGGGTAGCCATTAGCCACATGAGGCTAATGTGACTGTCTGAGATATATCATAAGTATAAAGCACACATCAGATTTTAAAGACTTAGTACAAAAATAGAATGTAAAATATATCAATTTTAATATTTTTGATTACATGTTGATATGATAGTATCTATATATATAAAAGCCTAAGCGACTGAATGACCAAACAACTGAACGACCAGTTGCTATAACATGCACTGACCACCAGGGGGCAGGCGCTCAATGCAGGAGCTGCCCCCTGGTGGTTAGTGTGCTCCCACAGCCAACCTCCCATGGTCCCTCCCACCGTCTGGCCGCCCCGATTGGCCTTAATCGGGACTGGGCGAGATGGCCCCGGTCCCATTTGCTGGCTAGGCCGAGGGACCCCACCCATGCACAAATTCCTGCACCGGGCCTCTAGTTTTAAATATATTGGGTTAAATTTAAAAAATTGTTAAAATTAATGTCACCTGCTTTTTTATTTTTTTAAATGTGGCTACTAGAAAATTTAAAATTACATGTGTAGCTCACATTATATTTTTATCGCATCCTCTCCTTTTATCCTTAAAGCTCATAGGAATAACCAGCTGCCTCCCACTTGTCAGGTAACCTCTCAAAGCCTCAGGCTCCTCACATGCGAAGTGGAGACAGTAAAATCTGGGAGGTAGTGTGGTAGAATGCTTTCAGTAAATACTGGCTGAATGCATTAAGTTGTGCTGCCTGAGAAGAGTCTTTAGACTAAGAATTGGCAAGCTCCATTTTCTCCAAGCAATTGTTTGTACATTTAGGCAAGAATCTGAGTCTCTGAACAGGCCTTAGTGAGGAAAGTGATGGAAATGTGTGAGGCTGTTGATTTGCTTGATGGCTGTTCATTCTCCAGCTGTATTTACACTCAGCTTCAGTGAATAAATACAGCTTCAGTTGTGCCAACCTAAATGTTTATTATTTTTGAAAACACGATTTCCAAAACATAAGCACTTGTTTTACGGTCTGTTTTAGAAAGGCCAATCCACATGATTCTTCGAATACCCTACCACACACAATTTGGAATTTTGGAATTGGACCAAACTCATTGGCCTCTGAATGGTTACCTCCCGTTTAGAAGTTGTTTTCAGTTATATTTTCTCTCAATTTGGGAAGTGAAGACAGCAAAGGAGTTAAAGGGTTTGATAAATGTTTGTATTACAGGCTTATGTAATTTAGAAATGGTTCTTCAAAAAAAAGTGCCTTTGTCTCTTTGGTTTTCTGTAATGAACAAGTGGCTCCTTCCTTTTTCCACAAAATGGTGCCTTGTTACAGTCATCAGCAATCTTGACATGCCAGGCCATTTAAGTGATTTTGAAGCCACTTGTAAGCAATTCTAGTAGTCCATTCTTGGGGTAGTTGAAAATTTTTAAAATGCAGGTGGGTAGCTTGAAAAGGATACTACAACCACTTGCACTGGAGTATGTTAAGCATTTTGATTTCTAAATATATAATAACTTTTAAAAGAAAACATTTAATTATTTAGTAAGGAGTTTCTATAAAAACATACATTATAAATGTTCTCATTCCTACATGACCCAGACATGCATGGTCTACCTCAATTTTCTTCTAAGAGGTGTTGGGGAGGCACAGTTGGTAGTGCACTGAGCTGCAGTGTGGCTTGCTGGGTCAGTGAATGTGGAGATAAAATAAGTAATACCTTGTCCAGACGGTGGGATTAATCTGAAGACTAGCTAAGGGTCCTTCCCAGTCATCTTCCAGGATAAAAAAAAAAAAAAAGTGATTGCAGCCTAGCCGGTGTGGTTCAGTGGTTGAGTGTCACCCCATGAAACAAGAGGTCACTGGATTGATTCACAGTCAAGACACATGCCTAGGTTTCAGACTTAATCCCCAGCAGGGGGTGTGCAAGAGGCAGCCGATCAGTGTTTCTCATTGATGTTTCTATCTCTCTATCCCTCTCCCTTCCTCTTGCTCTAAAAATCAATAAAAACATATTTTTTTCAAAAATGTCATTGTTCAAAAATTAAAAATATACTAAAGATAAAGCACAGAAATGATTTCTATAATTTGGAGAAAATTTAAGAAAAAAGGCAATGGTCTTTGGTGCTACTTTAATGGTTATAAGCAAAGGCATTTAAAGCTGTTACTCACAATGAGAAAACAAGGAGTCTTGGAAAACAGAGAAGTGAAGGCAAAGGAAAGATTATGCAGTTTGGAGGACTTTTTGCTTTGCTGTAAATGTTGTGGACTTAACAGGCAAAATGAGAAGTAATACTCTTGCTCAATCTTTTGATTTTAAATCTCAGATACAGTGCATATAACAAACCCTATAATTTATAAAGTTTTCACCTTTTAAAATTCAACAACAAAAACAGTATAAGCTTAAAATAGGATTTTCAAGAGTCAAGAGCATACTCTCAGGAGATGGTAAGTCTCATTCTGGGTCTATGTTGGCTGCTGGTATAGATTAGGCAGAATCAGGATGAAATCCTTTATCCAGAACATGCATTCTCAGTGTATTCTTACTTTAACTTACTCATCACACTTTTCCATTAAGAGGGTCATCTTAGCAACCAAAATACAAAACAACATTTAGTGATGTAAGGCCTATGTTTACTGATCACCACTCCTAGAAGATAAGAGTACCTTACCTGTAGCAAAGGCATCAGCTGCAAACCCAGTGCTTGCTCATAGAGCAAGTTCAGTTCTGCACAACTGGAGAAGGAGAGTTTGGAGGTGTAGAGGTAATAGTGCACGTGCCTAAATGTGGAACCATCTCTGTCAATAAACAGCCTCTGGTTTTCCAAAGAAGTCAAAGCTGAAGCCTCTTTCCACAGCAGGGAGTCTGGGAATTGAGCGAGTTTGCTTCTGGGAACTGAGAAATGCCAGCCCCCAACGTTGAAATGAAACAAATCCTCTGCTGACTCGTGAGGCATGCCAGGCTCCTCCTAAAGGGGAATGAAAAGAGAGCTATGCAGGAAAAGAAATAAAAAGCATCCATATTGGAAAGGGGAAAGTAAAACTACCTCAATTTACAGATGACATGTTTTTTTCATATAGAAAAGCCTAAAAAATTCACTAAGAAATGGTTAGAATGAGTTCAACAAGGTTAATCAACATAAAAAGAAATCAACTGTATACTAGCCATGAACAATCCAAAAATGAAATTAAGAAAACAATTCTATTCACAATAGTATTAAAAGGTGTTACTTACTTTATCTCCACAATCACTGACCCAACAAGCCACACTACAGCTCAGTGCACATCCAACTGTACCTACCCAACACCTCTTAGAAGTACAAAATATTTAGGAATACGTTTAACAAAAGAAGTATAATACTTACACTCTGAAAACTTTAAAACATTGTTAAAAGAAATTTTAAAAGACCCAAATAAATGTAAAAAAATAATCCCATGTTTATGGATTGGATGACTTAATATTGTTAAGATGGTAATATTCCCCAAATTGACCTACAGATTGAATACAATCCTTATGAAAATTCCAGCTGTCTTTTTTTTGGTACAAATTGACAAGCTGATGTTAAAATTCATATGGAAATACTCTACAGATTGAATACAACCCCTATGAAAATTCCAGCTGTCTTTTTTTTTTTTGGTAAAAATTGACAAGCTGATGTTAAAATTCATATGGAAATACAGAGGGCCCAGAGTAGTCAAAACAATCTTGAAAAAGGAGAACAAAATTTGAGGATTCACACTTTCCTCTTTCAAAACTTACTACAAAGTTACAATAATCAAGATGGTGTGCTACTGGTATAAGGATAGACATATGAAAAAGTGGAATAGAATTAAGAGTCCAGAAATAAACCCTTACATTTAAGGTTAACTGAATTTTGAAAAGGGAGCCAAGACAATTCAATTCAAAGAATAGCCTTTTCAAAAAATGGTACTGTGCCCTAGCTGGTTTGGTTCAGTGGATAGAGCGTTGGCCTGTGGACTGAAGCAGCGGTTGCCAACCGGTGGTCCACAGACCACTGGGGGTCCGTGACGTCCTAAAGGTTGGCAACCGCTGGACTGAAGGGTCCTGGGTTTGATTCCGGTCAAGGGCACATGCCCAGGTTGTGAGCTCAATCCCCAGTGGGGGGCGTGCAAGAGGCAGCCGATCAATGATTCTCTCTCATCACTGATGTTTCTATCTCTCCCTCTCCCTTCCTCTCTGAAATCAATAAAAATATATTTAAAAAGAACTCTTACAACTCAATAATAAATAGATGAATAACTAAATTTAAAAGTTGGTAAAGAATCTAAATAGACATTTCTCCAAAGATACATAAATGGCCAACATCATGTGTAAAGGTACTTAACATTATTAGCCTTCAGGAAAATGCACAAAATTCACAACGAGATAGCACCTCACACTCACTAGGATGACCTGAATCAAAAACAATAGATGATAATAAGTGTTAATAAAGATTGCAGAAATTGAAACTCTCATATACTAGTGGGAGTATAAAATGGTGCAGCTGGCTCTGGAAAAGTTTGCTGGTTCCTCAAAATGTTGAACATGGAGTTACTATATGACCCAACAATTCCACTTCTAGGTATAAACTCAAGAGAAATGAAAACCTATGTATGTCCGCACAAAAACTCGCAGACAAATGTTCATAGAAGTGGTAAATAGTGTATAAAATTTTACCTAAGAAAGAACCATAAAACAATGTTGAATTCTAGGTAAAAAAATTATGCATGCTGAAGTGATTGGGATACAATGTACTGATATTACAACTTATTTTGAAATGCATAAAAAATAAAATGGATTAATGGAGGAATAGATAGATGAACATGGACTAAAACAAATACAGCAAAATGTTCATTGTAGAATCTAGATGGTGGGTGTAAAACGTTCACTGTACAATTCATTCAACCTTTCTGAATGTTTCAAAATTTGCATTAAAATGTTGGTGGGAATAAAGAGTGTTAAAGTAAGAGGTGCTTGCCTAAGAGAGGAAAAGTCCATTTCTCCAACAAAACCCTGAATCTCCAATTTTGACAACTGAGGAAGGAAAAGAAACGCTTGCAACAAAGAAGGGTGTGTGGTTCTTTCCTCTCATAAGCAGCCTGGTCTCAATATTCGGATATAAAGAAGAACAATTCTGTATGTCACATTTGAGGCTAGAAGAGTTAAAGGGGACTTAAAGGGAATTACAAATTGTAAAATGGTGTCATGACTCAGAAGCGGAGCTAGAAAAGCCAAGCTAATGAGTTAATCTAGGCTTTTGAGTCCTGACCCTTCTAAATATGGGTAATGTGATCAGCTGAGAGTAACTAAGGGCCTCGCCTAGACCAGAAACCATAAATATGCAAGGACTCTTGACTTTGCTTTCTGTTCTCCTTAAAGGTGACTGGATGGTTGAGAGCTTGGTGAACAGTGCTGTGAGCGTGCAAATTTTAGATGCTAAAGAAAACCTGCTCCTGAAGGTGAGCCACAGTTCTGGTCTCCGTTCCTCTTTTCTTATTAAGGATAGAGTTTGACAAGAGGGTCTCGGCTTAAGAGTTTGCCCCCTTCTTACATATGCATGCCCCATTCGAGAGGTGGCTGCTGTAGTGAGGGTAGGGGTTAAAGATGTGGTTGTTCTTTCCAGTTTTCTTCCCCAAGACTGCTCAGGGGCTGGTTAGTGCTGAACTGTCCCAGCTTGGGGAGAGCCCTTAGTCACTGGCAAACTTTGGGGCCTGCAGTCCTTAAAGGGCAAAAGGCCTCTTGCCAGACCGACTTCAGGAAATGGACTAGCTCTAGTATAGCCATCTCCACCCCCTCCCAAAGAGCATCTTTCTTTTCCACACCGATCCCTCTCCCCCAAATCAATTTCTAGAGCTAGAACCACCTCATGCTCTAACTTCTCAGAGCCAAGTTCCCCAACGTTTCCCCTCATGACTCTGAGGGCTGCTTCCCCATACTTCAGATCTGGATCCCCTGCTCTCTCCCCACCCTTTACCTGCCCACCCACCACCCCTAGCCTCACAGTCAACATCCACAAGCGCTGAGATGTAAAGACCTTCACCCGTCAAGAAGCACACCCCACTCATCAGACCTGGAGTCCCCCAAATCCTCAAAGCTGGAACACTTGAGCATCCTTCCAATGTTCCAGATCCAGCACCCAGAGCCTTCAAAGCTGGAGCCATATCCCCCCAGCATGTCCCAGAGCCAGTAACCAACCCTATCCTCCACCACACCGCCCCCAAATTCGCGGTTTCAATGGGTTTGGTGCCCCAAAAGAGTGGGCTCCATACCATGGTTCGGACTCCTGCAGCAGGCGGGTGGGCGGGCGCGTGACCTGGCAATAACGGCCCCCTGGCGAGC